AACATGGAGTCAGATCCTCATCTCTCCCCTCATCCTCGATCCCTGTGAACATCCTCACACAGGGAGTTGTAACAAGAGATGGGATGAGAAAGAGGGAAATTCCAGCTTTGTTTCACACTCCACTTGCAGGAGGAAGTTTTTCAAGGCAGCTCTCACCAAACAAGGTTCAAATGACAGTAAATTTAAATTAAATGATCCATGTGGTGCTCACTGTCAGGGGCTTCTGAGGCCAGGCCACAGGAACCCTGCATTCCCAGAGCCAACCACACTAGGGAATATAAACATGGGGAGAGAAGATTTAAAAAAGCATTGTAACTGCACAAATCTGAGTATTCACCTCTCCAGAACTCAGGTAATTTATCCCATCTTCACCTCATGGAAGTGCTAAAGTATGGAGAAAAACCATAGGAGACTGTTCTCCAGCTTCCCAACCTCTGGATCCATCACCAGCAATCAGGCCAGGTCTTATCTTTCCAATGTTATCATTAAAGAATAAAGCCCAGTAACTCCTTAGAAAATAATTAATGAAATAAATGTGGTATTTGTTATATAAAGAATTCCAGAGACATCTGCTCCCATTGCTGGGAGGGCCCTCAGCACTCCAGTGTTGTTCTGTCATTTGTACAGGCAAGATGGATCCCAGAGTCATGGAATGGTTTGGGTTGGGAGGGACCTTAAATCCCATCCCATTCCACCCCAGCCATGGCAGGGACACCTTCCCCTGTCCCAGGCTGCTCCCAGCCCTGCCCAGCCTGGCCTTGGGCACTGCCAGGGATCCAGGGGCAGCCCCAGCTGTGCCAGGGCCTGCCCACCCTCCCAAGGAAGAATTCCTGACCAATATCCCATCTAAATCCATTCTGTCAGTTTGAAACTTCCCCTCTAGCCCCAGCACTCCAGGCCCTTCTCCAAAGCCTCTCCAGACAAAAGGCAGCAACTCAAGCACTCCAGGAGCTATTCCTGGAGCACTTCAGCTCCCTGAGACCCACCCTCTCCTCATCTCCATGGAAGCAGGGGCAGCTTTAGAGGACAGAGCCGCAAAGGCAGGAGGCACCTCAGGGGGCTCTCTTCATGTGCCACACCACAAGTGCAGACGTGTTGAAGCTGCTCCATATCAGGCAGAGCAGCACTGACCTCGCTGCAGATAACCCATGGGACCCCTCAGCCCTTCATCCCAGCCTAAAAATAAACCTGGATCAAAGGAGAGCAGGGCTGATCCTGCCCTGCCCTCTTATCTGGGCCCCTCAGTGCAAGATAAAACAATGCAACTCCAGGATTTCCAGAGGGTTCTGTTCCTGGGGGATCTCACCCTCTGACAACACAGCTTTTATCCACAGCCAGCTCTCAGGAGAAGGACCCTGGCAGCAAGGAGGGCATGGCTGAGGAGGGTGGCACAGGGAGGGTCTCACCTGCAGGGGTCCCTCTGAGGACTGGATCTTGTGCTCTGGCATCTCAGAGACCGGGATGTAGAAATCTGACACGGCGGCTGCCAGGTAGAACATGGCACTGGAGCCTGTGGGAGGGACACAGAGCTGCTGTCTGTCCCCTGCTGCCACCACCCACACCCAACAGGGGACACCAGGGGGAATCCCCAGCACAACCCTGAGCAGGGCAGCACTGTCCCCAACACGGGACACCAGGGGGAATCCTCAGCACAGCCCTGAGCAGGGCAGCACTGTCCCCAACACCCAACAGGGGACACCAGGGGGATCCCCAGCACAGCCCCGAGCAGGGCAGCACTGTCCCCAGCACCCAACAGGGGACACCAGGGGGAATCCCCAGCACAACCCTCAGCAGGGCAGCACTGCTGTCCCCACGCTGGGCTCTGTGCTGTGCCCCCCTCCCAAGCCCCAGCAGCCTCCAGGGACAGCCCAGACCCACATGGAGGGGTGCAGGAGCTCTCTGAGCAAGGGGGCCTCCTTGTCCCCTCACAGCAGAGCCCCACAGGTCCTGGCATCACCTCACACCTGGGGCCACTGTGAGGGGGTTCTGTCATCTACCCCATGCTGGGGACCCCACAACATTCCCTCATTCCTGCTCTGCCAGTCCCCTCACACTGAGACACCCACAAGCGTCTCATCCTGACCCTTCACACAGGACCACCCTGTTCCCTCACACTGAGACATCCCCGGGGGGCTCCATCCTTCCTCACTTGGAACCTTCACCCAGGACCACCCTGTCCCCTCACAGTGGGAACCCCCACGAGGGGCTCCATCCCCTCTCACCCCAAACCTTGGCACAGGATTACCCTGTCCCCTCACACTGAGACACTTCCAGGGGGCTCCATCCTCTCTCATCCCAAACCTTTGCCCAGGACCAACCCATTCCCTCACACTGGAGCCCTCACGAGAGCCTCGTCCCCTCTCATCCTGAACCTTGGCACAAGACCACCCCATCCCCTCACACCGGGGACACCCCGGGGGTCTCCATCCCTCCTCATCTTAAACCTTTGCCCAGGACCACCCTGTCCCCGCTCACTGAGACCCCCACAAGGGGATCCATCCTCTCTCATCCTGACCCCTTACACTAGGGACAGCCCCGGGGGACTCTATCCTCCCTCACCCCGAACCTTGGCACAGGACCACCCTGTTCCCTCACATCGAGACCTCCATGCTCTCATCCCTTCTTATCCCAAACTTTCACCCAGAACTACCCTGTCCCCTCACACTGAGACACCTTAGGGGGCTCCATCCCCTCTCACCCCGACCCTTCACACAGGACCACCCTGTCCCCTCACACNCCCCTTGAAACCCAAAGGTGACTCCATGAGATGGAGGAACTGAAGAGCTAGGTAGGTCCACCCTGCAGAAGGAAGTCACTGGCTGAAGACACCTCACAAGGGGGTGACAGAGAAAGGAAACCAGGACATGGCAGAGTGCAGGGAGGGCCTTCCCCTGAGCCCTCTGAGATCCTCAGCAAGCAATGGGCAGACCCTGGATTTGCAGGAGCCACTTCTACTTGGGTACCACAGCCAGCAATCCCAAAGTGCTGGTGCCTAAACACTGCCAGGGTGGAAGCATCCACAGGAACAGGGGCATCCCTGACCCCATGGGATGGAGTTGGCTGTGCCTCAGTTTGAGCCTGGATGGGGCTGGCTGTGCCTCGGTTTGAGCCTGGGGATTCTCCCCACCCAGCACTTCACACAGAGGAGCAGACACAACGCTGGAAGCCCACAATGTGTTCTCAAGTCCAGTGAAACCCCAATATTCCCACTGCCCCAGTGTGTTCCTCAAAAAGCTCAGATTATTTCCAGTCACAAAACCAGCACATCTTTCCTGCAAACCCCATTCCTTCCTCCTGCCATTCTAAAAAAAAATTCAAAGAGGGAGATTCAAGAAATTCTTTATATACAGAGACCTTCACCATTTCTCATCCTCCCAGCTCTCCCAGCCCACAGGACAGAAACAAGCTTCTTTCCTCCTCTGGAATGGTTTCACTTCCTTGTATTTCTCTTTTCCAAAGCCACAACAGCTTTGTATGAAAGTGACAGTGTTGGACAGCCCTCCTTGTGCTCCGTGGGGATTCTTTATTCACCTGCCCAGGCTCCATCCAGCCTCACTCCCGGATTTTCCTCCTCAGCCTTTCCTCTCTATAAAGGCAGTGTGCTGGCCCTGCAGGTAACTCACAATCTTCTCCTCTATTTCCATGCCTTGTGCCAGCTCCTCGTCAGACAGGGATAAGGGAGTCTGTGAGTCCCTGGTGACAATGATGACAGAGGTTCTGCGTGACTCCAGGATGTTGGCCACCACCACCTGGTGCCTGTATTTCTCCAGAGCCTGCTGAGATTTATCCAGCAGGATCTGGGCATCTGTCTCCAGTTTGAAGGAAATCACAAAAGCCTCAGGGGCCCAGTCTCTGACCAGGGGTGACAGCATTTTTGGCACCATCTTCATTGTGATCTGCAGTGGGGAAAGATACATAGAAAAAAATCAGTCAAAACATTGCAGGGATGTCACAGACATGTTTTATGAAAAATCCTTTCCTTAGGATTTTTTCTCCTGAGAAGCTGAGAGGGCTCAGGAACAAAATGTAAACAATGATTATCTGCTGCTGTGGAATGCAAC